ATGTGGTTTTGGTGTTCCTTTCGGTGGTCTGTACTATTGCTAGTTACATTGCTTAGAAGTTTAATGAAGCCTTGTCCAGAAAAAGTGGTGTCTATATTAACAATGAATTGATACCAGCCGGTGCATAATTTAGGTTTATCTTGCTGTATGATAACGCGCCTTATAGTTTGTGACTTCTTCTGTTTGCAGTTCCAACAATGTTGCATATTCTGTAATCTTGTGAGTACAATTCTCTTCAATTTGTATCTCCTTAAATGGTAGGTGCAGCGGGGCTGCCGTAGCTCCTTCGCTCAGAGAAATCTTATAATTTGATTCGGTGACCATCGTTCTATACTTAGATCCAGTACAGGTGTAGCGGATAGCAATTGACTTGCTGCAATAGTAACTACAACCTTAACACAAGGCTGCTAAACTTTTCATTGAGAAGGTAAACTGTAATTCTCAGTTTATTTGCGGCAAAGCAGCCTATATCTAAATCTGTGGGTTTTCCGATCAATACAGTGCAACCTAATCTAATATATAACTACTGGTTGGTCTAGCCACATACTTACTTCGTGTTTTAGTGTAGCAACACCATTATGTGTTTACACCATCTTGTTTGTCCTTTCCTTCCAGGGCACGTGAAATACGTTACACTTTCTCCCATCAAGATAGCGATCACCTACAGTCCATATTCGACTGTCCACTCGAACGAGGCTCGTGTGTCCAAAACACCACCAGGACCTTCTTCAGAAATTCTCTGCTCAATGATCCCTGTGTTGCCTACACGGAAGACGCCCATCCTCACTGGTTCAGAGAACGCCCGCGGGCGGAACCATTTTTCGTCTTCTGCACGCGGTACAACTTCAGACAGCACGTCCGCGACTTAGAGAGTAGCGCAACCCAAGATCTCGCTAGCCGAGTACCGCGCAGCGCTTTATCAACGACAGTAGCACGACCAAGAGCAAAGAATACTCCCGAACGCGCCCGCCATTTGCAAAATATTACTTTGTCGAGGATTTGGAGAAAGACGGCTAGGACTTATGTGAGCCCTGCTCAAACCTTGCGGACGCCTTGTCATTTTCCCAAACTCTCGACTTCCGGGTGAAAAAGTGTCATTAACAATGACCTCGGCAAGACACAGAAGCAGCAGCCAGATGCTGTCCATAGGTCGGCATTCATGCGCGCATATCCACGATCGGTCCTTGAGACTCGTGTAGAATACAGCTTCCGCTTGGCAGATCCTGCTACAGAAGTGGAATTCGCGATCACTCAGTCTTTGAACACCGTCGTGATCGGGACCCCCGCCACTACGCAAACCGATCTTATACAACGAAAAGCTCTCCGAGATCACTTCTTGGTACCTCACAAAATCCCAATAGATAGGCTCCGCACTCGACTTCGTGCTCAAAGAAAAGCGCTCCTGTGCTCGCAATGCGGAGTATTTCAGTGATGCTCGCCCTTGGCAGAACCCGCTGCAGATGATGAAGAGCTGTCTGAGTGATGAGTACAGCGGCATAAAATTTTTTCTCTCTGTCCTACTTACGGCTGAGCCACAAAGCGGTAGGTGTGAGCGTAGAACGCCATCTTCAGTCTGATTTTACTAAATTTAAGGTTCGTCGCCCTGCGACGTATGGAATGATCCATCACGTTCTCGCGAGATCTGTGGTTTCTCACTCGGGTAAGTCTACGACCGCAGCAGCTCAGGGCATTAGCTTGATCTCAGCTCATGGCCCTTCGGCCACTCTGGCTATTGCCGAAAAGTGCGGGACGATCGACAATGCGGAACGTCATGATCACTCTGATGATAAGCGTTCACGACGTCCGGGTAGTCTTGCCGAGGTGGAACTTCAAACCCCACAAGTTCTTAAAGTCGGGGTATCAGCGCCACTTCACAAAATATTGGGCTTGAACCTGAAGACGACGTCTTCTAATAAGATGTTCCAAGTGATTGTGGACACCACCATTCTCGTCGAGAAAAATCGGCGGCAGACGGTGATATTATGGTCGATCGACGTCCGGTGACATGCGATGCTCTTCGAGCTCTTGAGGATAAGGTGCATCGCGGCTGGACCCCGCTGATCATCATACTGGGGTTGCATAGCACTGTGCGGAAGACTTAGAGAGCTTGGAGTACTATGTGAATTGACTGGCTCACATCGAGGACTATCGCGCTCTGTTAAAGTGGCTCCCAGCCGTTGAGCAGACGAATGCGTCGTTTCGTGCAACGGTGGGGCGTCTGGCTCGTTTGATATGGAGGTCTTCGCACTCCGTGCTCAAAATCAATTGCTGTTCAGCTCCTGGATGGTGAGTGCCAATAGGCGCCGCTCCGGCGCCTACGAGCTCCTATGTTGGCATGTGTGAGATGTGGCAAAAGGCAAAACCCTCTCCAAATGCGGCGGTACCGCTGGCATTTTTGCTGGTACTCTCTGGGTGTTGGCTATTCAATAGTTTGGACTGTGTGCTTGGCCTTTCGAAGGACTGAGAGGGCAACATGTATGAGGTGGTCTTTGTCGACCGTTT